TCCCCGCCCCCCCCGTATCTGCAGTTATGAACCCGAGACAGATGCCGCCTCCGCGGCTGCCACTTCCCAGCCACTCCGACCTCACTGGCTGTTGACACTCTGAGTGGCACAGATTAGGGATGCTAATGCCTGTCCCCGCAGCAGGGACCCCTGGCCATGGAAGCCTTGGGGACACGCTACTCTCCTGGCCAGGCTGAACCACCCAGCCTGGGGCTGGGGACAGGAGACACACGCAGGGGCAGGGCTGTCCCTCCGCTCTCCCTGATCCATCCTCTGCAGCTCCCCGGCGTGCAGAGCCCAGCCGAGCTCACAGAAAGTACCTGCGCGGCAGCGGCTGCTGCATTTCCCTCCCCTGGCATCGATTACGGCGCGACACTGAGCCGATGCAAATCAATTTACAGCGATATAAACCTCAGCCAGGTTTGACCCCGAGCATTCAAGGACAAGGGGATAACCCACAACAGCCCCACTGCAGCATCCCACCGGAGCAAGGGCTGGCTCCCTCTCCCTGCCCCTGCTGAGCTGGGGCTGCGGCTGGGCTCAGCTACCGTGCCACGCTCCCCAGGGATTGCCATTCCCGCAGCCACTATGGGGATGGCTATAAATAGCACCCGTAGCAGCTCGTTAGCGGATGCAGCGTGCCCTGGGATCCTTAGGGATGAAAGGCGCTAAATAAAGGCAGGGTATTAGCATTCGTTATGAACCGCAACGCTGTAAGAGGCATCGCCGAGCTGGGAGCCCCAGCTACACCCCGCAGACACCCTCCCGTACGTACAACGCTCATGCCGGCAGCAGCTTTGTTTCTGCTGCTTTTAGCAAAGCGTGGGGAAACGCCAAGCACAGGGCAAGCGCGGCAGGCAGGAGGGGCAGCCACCCCAGGGCAGCACAGGAGCTGCCCCGCACAGCCAAGCCACGGCCACGGGTCCTCGCTGCCCCTTCGCAGCGCTGGTCGGTCCATCCCCGCTCCCGTCTCAGCTGGGAGGAAGGTTTCAGCCACACATCTCATGCAGCACAGAGGGGCAGAGACTGCCCCATGGGGCTGCACTGCAAGCAGCCCCCAGCCCCCTCCTCCCAGCTACCGGTACCCAAAAATCCCCAACCCTCTACCCCCAACCTTTCCATCAATCCCCAACGGCACAGGCGAGGACTGACAGCTCCATCACCACCCGCCCTTCGCGTGCCCCCTCTCTTCCCACCACCCAGCTGCCGCTGCAGCAAGAAACAGCTCTGGTTAATCAGTGCTCAAGCCCGTTAATTTGTGTTTGCCAGGCAGAGAGAAGAGGAGGGACCCGGGACTGCAAATCCCCATCCGTCGTCCTGCCCGCGGGGGAGCTCGTTGCTCGCTGGACCACAGCGGGGACAGGGCGGCAGTAAGGAGCGCGGGAGAGGTGGCCGGATTCGGAACGGTTCGGGGACCCTTGGCCACAGTGGGATGCATGAGGCGACGTGACGCTCCAGCCCCGCAGGGCTTTTTTTGTGCTGCCGTCCCATCCCGCAGCCGTCCCCTTCCCTGTCTGCACAAGGGCAGGGGTTTAGCCACAGCCGCAGGGCCGGATCCTGAGCGGGAACACGCACACTCAGCCCGGCCCCCGTGGGCCACGGCCACGGCACACGTCTGTCTTGCGGGCTCGGGCTCCCAACGGCTCAGCAAGCACCGTCCCCGCGCAGCAGCCAGTGGGGTCTCCATCGAGCCCCCGCATGTCACCCCTCGCTCTAGTTGCTACAACAGCACCTTGATCCCGTGGGGCCGCAGGCACCACCGCCTGCCTCATCAGGGAAACCAGGGTTAATTATTTCCAGGCACAAAGCAGCTCCCCCCTCCCCGTCCCCGCTGCAGCTCTGCCACGTCGTGGGCTGCGCCGCCAACCCACGGGTGACTGGTCCGGCATCACCCACCCAGGTGGGGCAGCGTCGGTTCTGCGGCATATATTTCCCCCAGGGACTTGCTGTGGCTCCTTCCCGGGGTCCCCGCAGGTCCCCCCGCATCCCAGTCCAGGGGAGCCGGCACATCACCCCATGCTGGGGCTCCCATCCCTGCCTAAACCTGCTGCGGGTGATCAGCGCTGCGCCCGGAGGAGGGCAAACTGGGCACCCACGCATGCGCAGAGTGGGTGCTCCTGCGTGAGCAAAGTGGGTGCTCAGGTGTGAATTAATGGGGCACTCATGCATGCACTAACTGGGCACCCATGCCTGAGCTACATGGGCACTCATGCAAAAATAAATCGGGTGATGATACATGGACTAATTGGGCACTCGTGCATAAATTATTTGGGTGCTTCTAGGTGAACTAATTGGGTGTTCATGCATGAACTAGCTGGGTGCTCAGGCGTGAATGAATGGGGCGCTCATGCATGAACCAGTGGGGTGCTCATGCATAAATTTTTTGGGCACTCATGAATTTATCAGGCGCTCATGCATGGACTAATTGAGCACTCATGCATAAATTCACTGGGCACTGCTGCGTAAACTAATTGGGCACTCGTGTAAATTA